CTAATAAAAATTTTAGAAGGAGATGCAATATTTCTGTGGATGAGTAATTTTTGCAAGCTTATTTTCAACATTAGTTACACATTCTGGTAAATATTCAATACGATCTGTACTTTTTTTTTTTCTTACATGCTGGAATTCTTGCAGAGAGTCCAGCAGCTAAATGCTCCAGTTGGCATCTCTTTCCCAATTTCTGCTAGTTGAGAAAACTTTTTTCTGTTTCATCTCTCAGTGTGGAAATAACCTTTGCTTCCACAACATCTACATAAACTTATCTGACTTTCGAATCTTTTGAAAGTTTTGGGAAGAGATATGTAGAAATCGCTCCCAGAGAATCAAGAACTGGGAGCAATTAAAAGACACAGAGCAGTCCACCTAGAAAACAGGAAGGATAAATAACCCTTCCTTAAGTCAGGAACACACAAAAAAAATAACTTGGTATGGTAACGAAATCAATGTCTAAACCAGAGAAGCCAACATATTAATAAAGAAAACTGAGAATGAACAAAAGAAGGGGAAAGTAAGCATTTCCAATAGTTGCAATTCCCAGAAAAGATCAGTGTAAATTCCTATATAGTTCTTGTCAGCCAGTTCACCAAAAGTGCAACTTATGCCCCCTGGGTAGTATCAGAATCCACTTTTCATCACTCCGGTTTACAATTGGAAAACTAGACAGTACAGGAAGTCCTCGACTTACCACAGGTAATTTAGTGACCATTCAAAGTTAGAAAGGAACTGAAAAAGGTGACTTATGACTGTTTTTCACATGACCATTGCAACATCCCCATGGTCACGTGATCAAAATTCAGACACTTGGCAACTGACACATATTAATGACGGCTGCAGTGTCCCAAGGTCATGCGATCCCCTTTTGCGACCTTCTGACAAGCAAACTCAATGGGGAAGACAGATTCACTTAACAACCGTGTGGCTAACTTTACAACTGCAGTGATTCACTTAAGGACTGTGGCAAGAAAATGGGGCAAAATTCACTTAACAGCTTTCTCACTTGGCAACAGAAATGTTTGGCTCAATGGTAGTCATAAATCAAGGCCAGAACATGAATATGGGACTGCAACAAATCAAATTTAGGGAAAATGTCCTCCTTTCCCCCACACTTCTCCAAGCTATCTTGCATTGGCCTAGACATTTTTCTTCTTTTCTGTCACAGAGAGTGACAGGGGTGTGCATGTATGCATTTTCTTAAGGATAGAGAAGATAAGCAATCCTGTACATCAAATGGATTGGCAATGATCAGTGAGCAAATTATTAGGAGAAATGATTTTATTTTCTTTCCTGACTGGATAGAAATTGGCTGGAAATGCTCAAGATCTGGATTTCCTACACTGAGCAATACAGGTAGTCCTTGACATATGACCACAATTGAGCCAAACGTTTCTAATGAAACATTTGTTAAATGATTTTTGTCCCATTTTACTGCCTTTCTTGCCACAATTGTTAAGTGTATCACTGCAATTGTTAAGTTAGGAACATGGTTGTGAAGTGAATCTGGTTTCCCCATTGACTTGGCTTATCAGAAATTTGCAAAAGACGTCATGACCTCATGTGAGCCAGTTGCCAAGCATCTGAATTTTGATCACATGGCCACAGGGATGCTGCAACAGTCGTAAGAGTGAAAAATGGTCACAAGTCACTTTTTTCAGTGCGATTGCAACTTTGAATGGTCACTAAATGAACTGGTAAGTCGAGGACTACCTATAGTAGAATTAGTGGAATGTTGCAATGTGGCTCAACAAGTGAATTCATAATTCAGATGCAAAAGGCAAATTAATTCAAAACGCTGCTCAAAAATGGTGTTCATCATCGTGCAGCTAACCATATTTTGCTCTTGGTTTGTCCCATTGCACCATGAACAATACAAGAAGACCAAGTGTTTAGTTTGAATACCTCCCCACACCTCTGTGAAAATCAAAGCCTTTAAGATAACCTGTTTCTATGAATACAATTGGGGGAGAGATCTAAAGTACTGTGCAAGAGGAAAACAATGTTTCAGAATGTTACCCATGTAGGAATAATTTTTAAAACATCTGCAGATTCTCAGTATTGAAAATCTAAACCATGCAACCCAAATGCACACAACAAAAAGTTTCCCAGAAGGACTTAAACTTCTTTAGCTGATTAAAACATACAATTTTCAGCATTCTTCACTGAGGCTATATCAATGTCAGTCATGAAGACTTCCTTGACAGCCAAGTCACCAACCACAATCTGAGAATTAAACTCAAGGATCTCTGCAGAAAATAAAATTGCATTTGCTTAATCGCATTAATCTAGCATGTTCCACTTTTATCATATGCCAACTAAAGTCAGAGCTTCATCATCTGATTCAGCCACCAGCTTTATCTCCAACAATAGAGGGAATAGCACTGCTTATCTTCTTTATCCTTAAGAAAATAAATACATACACACCCCTGTCACTCTGTGACAGAAAAGAAGAAAAAATGTCTCGGCTAATGCAAGATAGCCTGGAAAGGTGGGGGGGAAAGGAGGAAATTTTCCGTAAATTTGATTTGTTGCAGTCCCATATTACCAAGCTCCATTGTACACTAACCCCTTTTCTGAAATGCAGGAAGGTACTTTATACAAGTGGCACTCATATAGCTGTCTTTTATGGCTAGCAATAACTCTCAGCTCCACCAATGAGAGCTAACAGCCCTAGCTAAAAGAAAGTTTTACAAAGAACACCAGGGCTGGTGCTACTGTATTCATTCATGTATTCTTTGCCATTCTTTTAAGCAGCCAAAACCAATTTTCACTGAATAACCATTGGTCTTTCTATTCCAGTGCTGCAGGCTCCGATCGGTGTCAATTTGATCTTTGACAGAGGGAAGGGAGGATACCAGTGTTGCTAAGAGCAAACCTTTACAAATAAAACCGATGTTTCACCAATTGAATACATGGTACCTTTTCCTGCCTTAAAAACAGAAAATTCAAACAGTTTCACATGGATAGAGGGAAGGGGAGAGAAATAGAGGGAAGATTAAAAAAAAAAATCTTATTCCAAATCTTTAGGCTTCTACCCCAACCAAATATTTCTTGGTTTGTCAAGTCAAGATTCCCTTATCAACAAGTTTAGGAGACTCTCAAGCCTCTTCGTCGCTATTCTGAGATAACTGGACAACTTTATTCACTACTTGCTTCTTCCAATCGTTCATGAAAATAATTCATTAAAAATGATTTCCATAAAAGAGTCAACATGATGTAAAGATTAGAGTAGTCACCACTGAAGCTCACTGATCAAGCTAGCTACTCTTATTCATCCTAACTTCAGATGATTGATTAAAAAATGAAATACTGAATGCTTCTGAGGGTTAAAAAACAGAGAAAGGAAGCTACAAATAGAATAGCTCTGTTCACAAAATACTACCAAAGGATAAACTAATTCTCCACTGAGGTTGTATACTAATAAGGATTTTATGAGTGTTGAATTGCAACACTGAACAAGAAAGCCAATATAATATGATTCCACCAAAACTTGCAAAAGCAGTTGTTTTAATTTTATGTACCTCAACAATCGCTTTCTTAAAACTATGGGGGAAATGCTATACAGTGTCTTATTACTACAGATCTATTTAGGGATTGAGGTACTTTCCTTAACCTCAAATATTTCGAGCGGGTGCCTAAAAAAAAAAATGACAGGGAGATTAACCATTTCCCCCCCCCCCCCAATCTTCCAGCTGTTCTTCTAAACAAGAGGTCAGTTAACAGTAAGCTTTTCCCCACCACAAGGAATGGGGGAATTAAACTTTGGTCCTTCATCTCCTTCTCAAATGAATGCAGTCAGATTTAAGCTTTTCAACCCTCTATGGTTCAACAAAGGGAGGAGCTAACCTGCAGCCTCCACTGCTTTAAAGCCAGAGAAACAAAACAATATAAAATCTTTTAATTCTTAACCCCCAAACAAAACCCCATTAAGAAGGGAAAGAGGTGGGAAGGACCCCAGTTTTACACATTTGTCACCCCCCCCTTTCAAATAAAGTATACTAAGTCAAGAAGGAAAGGGGGGAAGTTATCCATTGCAGGGCAGTTCAACAAGTTCATCCCTTCTCTACCTTATTTTTGGGGGGATGTGTGAAAGAAGAAACAGGTTAATTGTCCCCCTAATTTATATATATATATAAGGTTGAAGGTTCTCTACCCTGGATAGGAATGTGGGGCATAAGGAAAGTGTGGCTTGTTGCAGACACAAAGGTCAACTTTCAACAACACATACAGCAAAACACTCAAGTTTGGAAACCAAATAGGTTCAAGCTCGCTTCCCCAACTCAATTTAAAAGGAGGAAAAAGAGGGGAGCAACTCCCCTTCAGCCTGGACTCCCTTCCTCTCAAGGGACAGGAGTGACTATTACTATTCTCTGCTGGTAAATATGAAGAAGGGAAAAACTCAAAAGTTCTCCGTCCTTCAGAAGAAGCAATATTTGAATTAAAAGCACCCGCATATTAGAACGGGGTATATTTGCATTTCTTCCCCTCCGTATCTCTAGGGCCCCCTCCTCTTAAAGAGAGGGATAAAAATAATTTGTGCCCCCCTTTCAATCCAAGGGGGGAGGAGATATCCCTCTATAGCCCCCTCTTTGTCAAGAGGGGGCAATTAAGCCTTTATTTTCACCCCTAGTCTCTTTTGGAAGCAGGGAAATTAGCCTTTATTCTCTCTCCTCTGTTCCAGATAAGTCTGAAGGTTTCCCTTCCCTTTAAGGAGAGTACAAATTAGCCACTGCCACATCAAGACGGAGGAGGGGGTTGGCTTTTAAGTTGCATGCCTCTCCCCTCCAAGCACAGCTCAGCCGTCTTGAAGTCCCCCATTTCAGTAGAATGAGGACTTTAAAAACTTCCCTTCCCACTTGCCTTAATATCACCCCCCCAAACTTGTCCCTAAAGAGGGGACAAACCCTCAGACAACCCGCCCCCCCCTCTTATTTATTTATTTATTTATTTATTTTGGAGGAAAGGGGAGCAACTGCATATCGCACATGCGCACTCACCCCTCCCTTCAGGTGCGTTTGCTCTTCCAGCTGCTATCGCCACTGTCGTCTCCTCTCGTCTAGACTCGTCCCTTCGAGACACGCCCCTTATGCCCTCGTCTTGGCCAATCAGTGCGGCCCGTTTCAAAAAAAGGCGGAGGTGGGAGGGGGACGAGGAGCGAGGCGAAAACTAAGGGGAAGGAGGAAGGTCATCGCGGAGGAGGAGGAGGAGGGAGCTTCAGTTTGTGTGATTGGCTGCTGCTCTCGCCAATAGAGATAGAGAAAGCTGATGCGGGAGGGTGGGGAAAGAAGGCTCACAACAGTCCTGGAGGAAAGCGCTCAACCGGGATGGGCGGGATTTGGTGACGGGAGGCCACGCCTACAGGAAGATGGGAGGTGCGTAAAGTAGATGCATGGTATTTTGTCTAATTATTTCTTTTTCTTTATCACTCTAATTTAAATCTCTCTCTCTCTCTCTCTGTGTATACACACAAACACTGAGTGAATGAGTTAAGTATTGGGTTAATTTATGCATTGTTTAAGTTTTACTTGATATTATGCGTTGGTACTCATAACGAAAACACTTTAACATCAAAATATAGTGTGTGGCATGATAAATAATTTCACTAGCCGTTTTACAAAATACTGTAAATTCATATTTTGCCCAATAATTGAGTATCAGTAATAAAATTATTGGTATACATTTGTAATTAGATATGAAACCACATATATGCATCCCCAAACCCCAAAAACTTTAACCTTAGACTGTCTACTATTGACCTCACCCCTTTCCTAAGGGGTTTGTAGGGGGTGTGCATAAGCGCACCAACGTGCCTACTGTCCCTGTATTGTTTCTTTTTATTTTTCTTATATGTATCCATTTCATGTATTCATGACTATGTTATACTTAGACCTGTTATCTTATAATCGCTTGACAAAATAAATAAAATAAACATTTGTCATATGCAGCTTTCCCCTTGAATCTTGTGATATTATCACAAGGCCATTTATTGATTATATTTTTATCCTGCCTTTATTTTTAGTGAATACAAGATGGCATAAAAACTCCTGACTTCTTATTTCTCCACAACAACAATCTTGTGAGGTAGGTTGGTCTGAGAGAGAGAGAGAGAGAGAGAGACTAGCCCAAAGTCACTCTGCTGGCTTTTATGCTTAAGATTGAAGTAGAACTCACATAAATTGCTACACAAAATTGTGAGCAATGTTATGTATTTATGGATTTATTTCTTTATTGGATGTATTTATTTATTGATTTTATATTGCCACCTATTTGCTCATGGCAACTCAAGGTGTCTTATACAATGTAAAACCATATTTAAAATAAAAAACAATAAAAACTAACAAAAAGAATCAAATAAATTAATAAAGTACAATAGAACAAAATCTGGAAAAAATAAAAAATAAAAAAAATCACCCCTCCACCTCACACTCTCAGTGTTAATATATTCCTGTAAATGCTGGACTATCTGGCTGAATAAAAAAATGATGTCTTTGAATTGTTGTGGTGGACAAAATTGTTGAGAGTATCTTAGACCAGTAGTCATTCAATACAAGATAAAATAGCTGGAAGCATTAATATAAAACATCAATCTTAAATATTTTGGGTGCATAATGGGGAGGCATGAGTCATTTAGGGAACATCCTGATGTTTGGAAAAAAATCAGAGGCAATCCAGACACAATAATGAAGTGCAGAGGCACCACATTGGCAACATATTGTCAAGGCTGATGTTTTCCTTATAGTAACATGGGATGAAAACTGCACCAATGTGGAGCTATAGAAAATTGTATCAGAAATCGTTACGCAAATGTATAAGATTGGCATTTCTGTGATAACATCATCTTGTGTTTCACATTACCATTCTGGCTGGGTGTGGATGCTGATCCCTGAACCACAAGAATTAATAATTCATTATAGATGTAGAAAAACCAGGCTGGTGACTGGAAGCACTAAGAATAAAGCTATTATGGGCTGGGGCGAGAATCATTGAGGAAGACCCTGATGCTTGAAACAATTAAAGACAATTGAAAAGGAGGTAAACCATTGGCTTGTTACAATCACCAGTGACATAAGATATTGTGTAGGTGTTTACAGACACCTCCCTATAAGCAGGACTAAGAAATAATCCTGGAAAATTATTATCCATTAATTTACAGAAATAACTGAGCAATAAAGCATCCACATTTTGTCAAGCACACAAGTTTTGATCGTGTGACTATAGGGATGCTACAACAATTCCAAGTGCGAGGACCAATTGCAAGTCACTTTTTCTCAGCGCTGTCATAACTTCAAAAGGTCATTAAATGAATGATTATAAGTTGAAAACTATCTGTAGTAGTTACAGAGTATCATGCCCTTGCAACGTCTAGGTTAGACTACTGTAACAAGCTCTACATGGACTATCCCTGAAGACCATTTGGAAACTTCTGAGCTTGTCGATCAGAAAGGTTGGCAGTTTGAATCCCTGGCGCCGCGTAACGGAGTGAGCTCCCGTTACTTGTCCCAGCTTCTGCCAACCTAGCAGTTTGAAGCATGTAAAAATGGAAGTCGAAAAATAGAGACCACTTTGGTGGGAAGGTAACAGCATTCCGTGCTAGTCATGCCGGCCACATGACCATGGAGACGTCTTCGCACAATGCTGGCTCTTTGGCTTTGTAGCGGAGATGAGCACTGCCCCCTGGAGATGGAAACAACTAGCACGTATGTACAAGGGGAAGCTTTACCCTTACTAGTGCAGAATGCAGCTATTTGGGTAGCAAATGGTACCAGACACATGCACGTGTAACACCACTTCTGTATCAGCTGCATTAGTATGTTTCCAGGTGCAATTCAAGGTGCTATATATATGGCTTATGAGCCTATATGGCTTGGGACTGGGCTACCTGGGGGATCACCTTTGTCTAAGAATCTATATCCATCCAACCAGGTTAAGCAGAATGGACGTGCTGGAGATCCCGTTAGCCAAAAAATGTCTACTGGTAATGACCAGAAGACATGATTTTCCTGCAGTGGCCCCTGCTCTATGGAACAGCCTCCTTTCAGTGATTACAATCATCCCAACCCTGTTGGCCTTTTGTGAGGCCCTTAAAACGCTGCCTATCTTCCCATGTCTGGGGTGCTGAATGTGTTAAGGGCCCTATTTCTCGGCTTTATTGCTAACTGGCCCCCGCCCCATATTTGATCTGAATATTTTTGTCATTGACTGAGATGGGTGGCTATAGAAATTAAATAAATAAATAAATAAATAATTGTGTAACATGTTTTCCCATGTTTGAATGACCTTTGCTTTTACTTAAGGAACTCTGTTGTTTAGGATTACACAATCCATTGGACCTTCAACCGATGGATTCCCTGAATGCTACATTACATTAACCTAGCTCATTTTGTATGTTTAATGATTAAGGTGTTGGTTTATGATTGCAGAGACAGAGGCTTGGTCAGTTTCCCGGATGATTTTAGGACAGTCCCTGTCCTAAATGGCCAAAGGGCCAGGAGGATGTGATGATGGGGTTGCTGGTTTAACATCAAGGAAACCCGATTTCCAGCTCACCCTTAGCTATGGAATATCGCTGGATGATTTCGGATTAGTCACTCTCTCCATCCAAACTGTTTCACAATCCTTGTGCAGGAAGAATTGGAGCAGGGAGTACTGAGCATAGCTTTGCTTGGATAAATATATTATGTACCATAAATATATAATTATGTGTGTCATGCAACACCATCAAATTGAGTTGATTGAATAAATTATGTTTATACATGCTGTGCCCTGGGAATCACAAGTTGCTTTGACATGTGCCAAACATGGTTTCTTCAACCCTGGATTATTGAGAAAAGCACAATTTGGGATTTCCTAACATGCTAAACTGTAAATTTAACAGAAGAAAAACTTAATGAAGACATGAGCAAAACAGAAAATATGGAATTTTTTGAACCATTCACTCTCTCAGCCCCACTCAACTCAGAGGGTTGTTGTGGGGAAAATAGGAGGAGAAAGATGTGTTAGATATGTTTGCCACCTTGAGTTAGGATGGAAGAGTGGAGGAAAATGGAAACGGAAGTAAACCATAAGCACAGTCATAGTCATGTGATTTTTCTACTCAGTGACCAGTAATGACAAATAAATTCTTATGTCTTATGTCTTAAACTAATATTATTATCCTTGGGATGGTGATATTGTTTCATGGGTGGCATGTTTTCTTTCGAGAGTGATGCATCAGAATTTAATTTTAATGTATGCCATTATGTATACAGAAAATTAACAATAAAGGTTAATTCTATTCTATTCCCAAATCTCTCTTGCTAAGTGAGACATTTGTTAAGTGAGTTTTGCCCCAGTTTATGACCTTTCTTGCCACTGTTGTTAAGTGAATCACTGCAGTTGTTAAAATAACACAGTTGTTAACTGAATCTGGCTTCCCCATTGACTTTGCTTGTCAGAAGGTTGCAAAAGGGAATCACATGACCCCAGGACACTGCAACCGTCATAAATATGAGTCAGCTGCCAAGCACCTGAATTTTAATGACCATGGGGATTCTGTTCTGTTCTGTTCTCAGGTGACATACTTGTGTCCTGTTTAGGTGCAACTGGAAAAGATATTGAAGAAACGTAAAGGCTTTCCATCTCTGCTGGCTTTGCGGGTTTCTACGGTGACTCCACCAGGTATGGATTCTTGGCTAGTGAATCAATCTAGAACCTGTCTGTGACACCAGTCTAGAACTTTGTCTCACTCTTCAGTTGGGAGCCCAGCCTAAGTCAACAGTAGGTGGTGGCTTGGCTTTGATGGGCCAGAATCTAACAGTGGGGATCCCATGGAAAGGGGTGAACAAGCAAACTAATCCCGCCACAAAAGACAAGAGAAGTAGTCATATCATTTCAAAAACGATAGGAAAAAATCCAGGGATTGTGTAGAAAATTATGGCTGGGAAATTGGTAAGGAAATATCTTTGTGCATAACGTAATTGAAATCTGTTTATTTTATTTTCTTTCTTCTCAAAGGCCCACCTCTTTTGTTTGGCCTTGGTCCCAAGCCCAGCTGAAGCCAGACTAGATTTGTAGACCTTTT